CAAAGCCAAGACTCATTTTTTTCGAAATTTTGCCAGAGAATGTTTAAACTGTCTGGCTTCATTATACCATTTTTTTAACCATCTGACTTCATTTTGGTAAGTTTTTGTAACATCAATTTGAAGTCTTCTTTTTTTTCTAAAATATTTACATATCAATTTTTATTCTTTCTTTTTTTTAATAAACCATCTGGCTTCGTTTCTTTGAAAATGGAACCATGTCAGTAACATTCTAATTTTCTTAATTAGTTTTTTATACAGTTCAGTATTATCGGTTTTATGAAAAATAATTTTGATATTAATTTTTACATATTCAAATACTTTCTTAATTTTTCTCATATAATTTTAATATTATAAATTTTAAAGTTCTTATTCTCGTTTTTGCATCCTTTTCTTTTAGTCAGTGTGTACAGGATTTTTAATTCCTCGGTTGAGCTTTGATAAGCAAGAAACAATAACTAGTCAGCTCATTTTATAAAGAATTTTTTCTTCTTTTCTTTTCAAATTGCCATCTTACTTTGGCTGCTGTTTCTTTTATTTTTCTTCACTTTTCTAGCTTCCTCTTGTTCCCTTTCTATTAATTTCAGTTTTTATTACATTCACCCATGTTTCTTGCAAATCTTTCAAATCACTTGGTTCTTTAAGTTTTCTCAAATTCATCATTAAACGCAAAGACCTCCATCATTTTTCTCCAGTTATTCACAAACAGTACAACCAGTGAATGTGATACACTATTTATATACAGGGCCATTATCTTCATGTCTTTGCCCTAATAAGCATCAATGTTAATTCATTTTTCTTTCCTGTTTCTTTGCCATTCTATGAGGTTGCTTACATCCCTCCTCTCTACTTTTTCAATGTGTATGTCCAATATGCTTGCAAGAATTTGTGATTTCAAAGTCAACAGTGTGATACCATTATTCAGAACTGTAACAGAGTGGAATATTGAGGAGAAAAATTCAAGGAATGATGTAAAGTTCTTGAAGACTCCATTGTTTTTTGCTTTTCTGTCAATGGTATAAAAGATGATGGTAAATACTGAGAAATATTGTTTATTTGTGGTTATTGCTACAGATTGCACCATTCTTTGAGGCTTAGCAGACAAAAAAAACGTTGAGGGAATGACATATTCAAGATTCTGCCAATGAAATTGATGAGTTTTTTGTTCTGTATTTTAAAAGGATACATATCAGTAAGATAAATGGGAACATTTCTGTTTTATTTGGTAAACTAAAAACAGGACTTGAATATTCATTCCCTGGCAGGCCATGTACACTTTGAATATCTTTGGAAAATCTTTTGGCTGACTCTATTGCAATTGCTTTGTCTAATATCAGTGTGATTTTAATGAGCAATTACTGCTGAATTCCTCACCCTGATCACTATCCAATCTCTTAGATGCTTTTTAAGTTGGTCCCCAAAATTGTACTTTATTCACATTATTCAGACTATTGTCCTCATCTTTGTTGCCATATTTATCACAATGTTGTACACTCTGGCCTTCTTCAAGTGGTTGGAATGTCAAACGGAATCCTTTGAACTGGGGTAGACTGTTCTAGTTCCACGTGCCATGTTTAATGGATGTCAGTTATCAGTTATCTCCTGTTAATTCCCTCTCCAAGTTCTCCACTTCCTTAACTCACACTCTTTGGGTCCTGTCACTGGATCTAATCAATGCCTTTATCCACTGTGCATTCTGTCCTTGAGGACATCTGTGTATGAATCTCTGGGTATTATAAACTTAATGTCATCAGCAACCATTTTTTTTTACCAGTGCTCATATTGTAATTTTTTGTTGTTATTATCGCTTTTATCTGGCTGAAACATTGTGATAAATATGGCGACAAACATGAGGACAATAGTCTGAATAATGTAAATAACATACTAATACCTCATCTCAGAAATATAGACAGATACCAAAATTGTACTTTGTAGACATTTTTCTCAGTGTAGTGAAGTACTCACTGATAGTTTCATTATCCCTCCTACCCTAAGAACAGAACAAAAAACACTTATCAATTTCATTGGCAGCGTGTTGAATGTGTCATTCCCTTGATATTTTTTTTCATCTGCTAGACCTCAAAAGGTGACTATAGGAAAGAGGGCTTGGATAATATGATCTTGCAAGAGGGACAGAGAAAAATAATGCATAACATACTTAGTGAGATTGAATAAATGGAGAAATAACCCAAAGACAAAATTTATCAAGAGCTATGAAGGACAGGAAATTGTGGAGAGCCATGATCACCTATGTCCTGAGGTGACACAACACAAAGACCTCAAAGAATAACATAATTTTTAGCCTTAACCACAGACAATAATATTGTCATCATTTATACCATTGGTAGAAAAAAAAAAGAAACTTCAAAAACACAACATAATTCCTTGAATCTTTCTTCTTAATATTCCATTATGTTATAGCTTCAAATAATGGCATTCCACTGGTGACTCTGAAATCACAAATTCCTGCATTCATTCCTTTTTATCTCATTGCCAATTTTATGGATAATGTAACATCTGAGTATGTCTGCCTTGGTAGCAAAATGTCTAAACTTCCAAAAACATGGATTATTTATATTCTCAGGATAAGAAGTGCCCCTTACCTGGCAGGATCTTCACTAAACTGAGAGCAGATAACTCTATCAGTCAATCTATAACAAAACAATAATAATGTTGAGAAAAAAACATTTTATGCATGTTTTGATAATCCTTTATTTTAGATATTGAGAAAAATATATCAGAAAGTTATAAATTGATGGATTGGAGGTGCATTTTTATTGATCTATTTTTTCTGCTTAAGTGATTGATTACACAAGATATTTCGATATATGACAAGAGTAATAATGAAGAATCTGTCCAAGGACTGAAATCCCAAACCCATAGTTCTGGGTTTCATGCTAATTACAATCTTCAGACAATTAAGATCCTAACCATCTGAAGATCATGTTGGCATGAAACTCAGAGTTATGATTTTGGATCATTGTCCCTGGAGGGATTCTTTGTTGTTTATTGTTACAGCTCTGTCTTGACTTGGTTTCCCATTTTGTATTTCTTAATTCTATAGACATTGACTACTGTTGTTTTTTTGTTTTGATAATCTGTCTGTCTCTTTCTTTTTTATGTTTCTTTCTTTGAAGTTTGATTATTGGTAGGGTTTGTTCTTGGTACTTTCCCTTCACTTTATACTTAACTAGCAGTAGAGCCCAGCGTTGCCCGGGGATGTAACAGTAAGAGATAGATCAAGTATCGACCATCATAAAGACTGAAAAATAAAATTGACAAAGATTATTGTTTAAGGTTGACGGACATGCATGTCTTAATTAGTTTTTTTTTGGTCAAACCCAAACTCAAATAAAAACATTGTTTTCAATTGTTATGAGTCTATCGATTGAATAGAATTTTATAATTAACAATTGTCTTGTAAATGGAATTTTTAAAGCATTCTGAATGTAAAAATAAAGAAAAAAAGTGTGCAAGACAATAAGAAACACTACCTGCCAAAAAATAAGGTGAAGTTTTGTTGAAATCGGTTGAAAAATGTAGGAATATCCGATCCCATATATAAACAAACACACACACACACACACACACACACACACAAACAACCTGGGTTTTATAATAAGTATAACTCGATATGAGTTGTCCCCCTTTCATTCTGGCAACAGAATCGTGTTTTATTGTGTTTTCAAATTGATTTCCTGCAAAAGCAATTATGTTTTTCCCATTTTTGGCACTGTCAGAACCACTGTAAGGTAATTTTACGTAGTCTTGTGAAGTTTTGTTGAAGTCGGTTGAAAAATGTCCGAAATCTGATCCAATATATAAACGAACAGACACACACACACACACAATCTGCGTTTTATAATAAGTAAGATTTCTTTTGTTTACTCATACATACATATACACACACACACACACACATATATATATATAACATGATCATTAGTCTCAGGTTGTTGGGGTACCATATGTACTGCAGCTATATCAGGAGTGGGTGGGCCTTGGGCAAGATAAACTGATAAAGCTCATTCATCTTCAGGTTCATTTTGAATTCAGGATTGTCTTTCTTCTCAAGTTGTTACCACAAAAGGCAAAACAGCCCAGTAAAAAGTTGATTTATGCTTTTTAAAAAGTAATAGCATAAAAGTGACTGAATCAGACTAGGCAAGAATTTGATTGGTTTGGTTTCATTGATGGCATATCAGCCTTTTTAAGGTTATTTAATGCTGAATTCTGTCAATTTGATAAACAATAGAACGGTAGACATAGATCTGGTTTGTACAAAAGTTAGAAAGGGAAACACAGGTATAACAAACAGGTGGTTAATTTTCTTTTTTTTTCCCCTCCCACACAAGGATGCAGTCAGCATATTTTTGACTCCAAATGACAGAGTGAAAAGATTTGAACTCAAAGACCAATTCTTCTTCTCATGTCGAACATCATTGCATTACACCCTCACAGTGTAATGGATGCAGCCATATATATTTATCCATTATTCATTTTATCATAAAATAAAAATGTCTTAGGTTTTGCTTGATGAAAATTTACAGGTTGATTGTTCTATTTTCTGACAATATTTTGCATATATTTACAATTCAAAATGGCCATCCTTTGCTTCCACCATCACCCTTCATCTCTTCTCAACTGAAGTGCATGACTTCACTCAAATTCTACCATGATATCATAAGATCTTCTTTCAGGTCTGACAAACTAGATTTGGTTAATTGTTTTTGTTTAGTAGCATATCAACTTCAATAAATTATTTAATGCTGAAATCTAAATATTTTGTAAGCAATTTTGTTTTAATTATGGAGATAATAATTGTTTAGTGTTACAAGTTTTACTAATTAACCCATAGCTGGAGAGAAAAAAGTGGATTCATACCTTTCCCAAGGGAATAATTTGTGCATAAGGTAATATAATGAACCCATCTGGAATTGGAACTTGGATCTTTGATTAACAATTCCAAGCCATTAACCCTTACACCACTTGCAAACCCAAGTTTACAGTACTTGGTATTCCCAAGCAGTTACCCATCTAAGTACTAACCAGGCTTGATATTACTTAACTTTGGTGATTGTACAAGAACTGGTGTTTGAACATGATATGGCCATAAGCCTTGACAAATTTGAGTATGAAATAGATGAAATATCGCAAGACCCACAGGATTAATATCAGGGTTTAATGGAGGCCAAATTGACTTGTCACAAAATTCATAGAAATGTATCTTACATCAGTTCTGCATCAAACTGGTCATGTATGTGGGATCTCCATTTTGAGTGAAGATATAGCAACTTCCAAATGTGGTTAATAATCAGGACAACACATCTCTCTCTATCTCCAACATTTACTGGTAAACTGCTATTCACTTTCAATCTTTCTTCAATGAACACCAAGGGCAATTTGAAACCATCAGAAGCAACAGCAATTGAAACCATGAGATAGCAGTTGGTTTCTGCCACTTAAAATAGGTTCTGACACCTTCAGGAATGTTACCTCCTGGTGAAGTAGCTTAAACCTTATCGTTTTTGGTTGACCGCAACCTCCACAATGAAAAATCTCTTGTCTGACTAAATTAAAATTTTGTCTGCATCATGTTGCATCTCCTCCAACATTTCCTTCCCTCTGCCAAGCTGTTTTTGCTTGGAGGCACTAGAGAGCAGCTGTCATCATTGAATATTGTATTATTATTTTTGTAAGGTTTCAGGACAAATTTTTAATATTTTCTGATCTGATATTGCAAAATAAGTTTTACTGAAATAAAACCTTCAGGATTTTTTCTTTCTAAAACTATAAAAAGTGTTTGCCATCACACCCCAATTTTAAAAGTATTATTCACAATATATCTAACTGGGAGGTAACTACCCTCTAAATATTTCTATAAAGTGTTCTAATAAAATATCCTAGTAGTATTGAGTATAAAATTCATTCATTAATGAATAAATTCTGAATTATTAGACTTTTTGATAAATTTCTAAAAATGGGGTCAAATAGTGTCTTGCTTTTTTTCTTTTGCTTTCATTTAAAAAAAAAAACGTATTCATTTTGGTGGTATACATACATACATACATACATATATATATACATACATATGTATGTATATATATATATATGTATATATATATATATATATATGTATGTATATATATATATGTATGTATGTATATATGTATGTATATATATATATATATATTGAGGAGGAGTCACTGAATAAGACTTATTTACCTTCCTTGTCTGTTTTCTAATTTTATAAAAAAAAGTTCCACCATTTTAAAATAACGGTTTTGTGAATTTACTTATTTTATTTTTTGTATATATTTTTTATTTGTTATTTATACGATACGATGTTTCGTGATAATAATGTATATCAGTTTAATTTATAATATCTCTCTGAACCTATCAATCAAATTTCGCGTACTTATTTAATAAGACATTACTTTGTTGGCCTCTTAAATTATTGAATTGAATGAAAGGGGGATATTCTAGTTGCTACTGAAAGAGAACCGAAGCGTATATAAATATGAGAGAGAAAAATGAGAAATGCAACATAATTAACAAAGAGGGTTGATGCGATCCGAAAAGAGAAATGAAAACAGTGATATTGAGAGAAAGAGAGTGAGTGTGAAAGAGAGAAAGAAAGAAAATAAGACATATGTAGAGAGTGGGAATAACAATTTGAGAGTGAATTGCTGACTCGGAGTGGAAACTGTCGAGGAAGATAATTGCGGGTGGGGTGATGGCTTTGTATGTGTGCTAATACGGATGGGGAATAAACATTAATAATACAAAGTGTTTGATAGCTTAAACAACAGATTATTAATAAAAACTAGGCAGAATGGTCAGGTTAAACACAAGCGTAAAAACTGTTGAGAGTTACAAAAAGGAATATAATGACGGAAGAGAATTGTAACACTTTTTAAAAAGCGAGGGAGATAAAACACGAGTTTTAACAACAGAGTAAGAAAAAGGAATATAGTACGATTTTAAAAAAATAACTTTGTTTAATAGAGTGAATGAGGAATTTACACAGTATTAAAAGAGAAAGGAAATAAAATTCCAATACGTGATGTAGAACGAAAATAGAGCAGATGTGAAAGTAAAATTATGGATAAATGGAAGAGAAGAGGAGTGAGGAAGAGATTTACAATTTATTGGCGGGAAGACATGAGAGTTTCAAGGGATCAGGCGGGTTTTTACAAGGAAGGAAGAAACGACGGGGATTGTGCGATCAATTCTGTCAGCACACACGCCAGAAAAATAAGTGAAAGAATACAACAAATAATTAATTAAGGTTTACGTGTGAGTAAATTATTTATAACTTAAGTCTAAGCATTTAATTTATATAGTTGTGTGTTCATTGTATTGATAATAAGCGCGCTCGGGCGGGCGAACACACACACACACACACACACACACACACACTGGTAGCTACAAAGAAAAGTGATACCTGAGGTAAAAAAAATGCATTTTTAAAAACGAAAAATTTTTCTTGAAGCTTTTTTAATTTCAAGTTAAAAGATTAAATTTCCAATGAGCAAAATACTTTGCTGTATTTAAAATTGAATTCATTTTAAGTGATTGGAATTTTTTATCAGTAAAAATGCTGAAAAAATCCTTCACATTGTCAAATTTGTCAGCACAACAAATTCTTCTTACTAGAAATCTTTCAAAAATAAAGTATACTTTTCTGAAACTTTATTTGATTAAGATTAGCTGATTTAAAGTATAATTAATCTGATTTGAAACAAATATTATTGTTAGTTTGAAATATTGCAAAAAAGCATTTTTTTTTAATCTAGAGGTAGGTGTTTTTATGAAGTGTTGACAACTCTCTTGATAGACTTATATTTGGGAATTTTTTCTAAGGAGTACATAACTGTAACAGTTACTTGACAAATATAACGTGAACACTTTTTTAACAAATTTTTTATTGGATCTTATCAAGATTAGTGAATCCAATTATCCCCATGTAAAGAATAGCGAAAGCTAGACAAAATATGTCCTATTTATTAAAGGCAATGTTGGAAATATAAATGAACTTGTTTATTGATAAATGAACAATTAAAATAACATTACTCTCTTTCCATGAAAAAATAGTTAAAATAACTTAGTTATTGAAAGAATATTGTCGAGTGATAACATTACAGAACCCCAATAACCTGTTTTAACCATATTTCATTTTGATTTAGCAAAAAATGAGTTTTTTTCTAATTGCTACATTTTGTTTGTACTATAAACAGTCTTTCATAACTGTACAAAGAAACACTACACTTTATCCAATTCATAAATGTATTAATGTGTATGTATATATGTATTAAATGTATTATATGATTCATATTTTAGTGATTTGTTCTTCATACATTCAATCACTGATAAGCTATTCTCTCAAGTAATGGCTTCATAAGCTCTGTGAATCTATCCATCTTGAGGGTTCCTGGATATCTGAATAAATAAATTAAAACCAGTATATAAAAACAGCTATTGAACCTTAAAGTTATTTGTACCAAAATGTTCATGTCTAGAACAACGAACTCAGTTATTCTTATGTAAAGAATAACAAACCTGATCATTCTCATGTAAAGAATAACAAACCCGATTATTCTCATGTAAAGAATGATAAACCTGTAGAGGACCGTGCCTGTGATGTTGTTGAGTAGACGTAGAAGAACACATGTGGGTTCAGATTATCCTGCTAGCCGGCCCAACTACATGAGAAAGTTGGACTTTAATTAAGTCCAAAGAAGTAGGCAAAGAAAACAAACACAAGACTAATAATATATGTATACAAATATATATATTAATAACAAGTTACATTGAAAAGTTACAAAGAACAAAGTGTGTGTGTGTGTGTGTGTGTGTGTGTGTGTGTGTGTGTGTGTGTGTTGTGCTTAGCATGTTCCCAGCATTTGGGAAACGCTATCTTTGTGAGCGTTCACATCTTCGAGGTGATAAGGCTGAAAGCCTGAGGAAAAAAGAGAGATTTACCTCCAGGTGTCGGCCCAAAGGCCTGAGGAAAAAAGAGAGATTTACCTCCAGGTGTCGGCCCAAAGGCCTGAGGAAAAAAGAGAGATTTACCTCCAGGTGACAGCCCAAAGGCCTGAGGAAAAAAGAGAGATTTACCTCCAGGTGTCAGCCCAAAGGCCTGAGGGAAAAAGAGGAAGAGGTGAAGGGTCAGCGACTATTTATAGCCAGGGAAGAGAGACCCCTGGTGAAAGAGTTAACGAACTAAAGGAGGAGTTAACTCTGACAAACCCAATCATCTTCTTGTAAAGAAAAGCAAACTCTGCCGTGAGTGTGTTCACTAATCTTAACAAGATCCATTTTTTTTTAACTACGTACTAATCTTAAAAATTTATGAAAATATTCTTAGCGGTCTAATATTTTATGTAATTTTAGGTACTTTGGCTTTATAGTCTAACTTATGAACACACTTGTTGAGGAAATGTCAGAAAATTACTAATAAATTTTAACTTTATTAGTTACCACTCATATTTTCTGATAATGTCATGCTTGGACATCTGTATTTACAAAAATGAACATGTTTATGCACATATAAAATAAATTAAAAATTCTTTTTAGCACATTGTGGGTCATAGAAATGTATTGAGCTATTCCATTTATAATTAAATACAATCTTAATTTAGTAACAATATAACTTGACTGATGCACATTAATACAGTATTTTAAAAGTTTATAAATTAATATAATTAAAATTTAAAAGAAAAATTATTTTTTTATATCCTTTTTAGAGCCATGAAAATTTACTTAGAAATCTTGTTTTTCTGGCTTCAATGCAGGACCATAAATTAACATGGTAAATTGGAGTGTCTTTTTGCAGTGAAAAACATTGATTTGGAAATTCTTGCAAAAATCAGATAATTGTCAAATTTTCAGTTCTTTTTTTTAAGTTTCTTTTTAAGAAAATCTTTGTAAAATTTTTTTTTTCACATTTGTTACCTTCTACTCATTTAATCTTATGAAATTTTGAGAAATTCTTTTTTCTATCACTTGATGTTTATGTCAGTTTAAGGACAAGTCCTTGGAGTATTTAAATTACAGACAAATCTCCCATCAATGGACTAATAGAGTGAGGAGTTGTCTGTTTAATCCAATTGT